ACGCATTTTGCATTTCACTTTCTGATAATTTTTAATTACTGAGTAACAGCATATATACTTACAAGTCAATAGACATTTTCATATTTACTTCACAAAGAAATTGTACCAAAGTTTGCTCCTATCAATGAAGTATGAGGGTATTTTTACCCTTCTCCTTTATCACCACTGTTTACTAACATTCTGTGGTAGTTACATAATTCATGTCCCCTTGAAGATATATAAAAGTGTAGGGGTGGAGTTCAGCCTGTCAACCAGATACAGTCTGATTATGGGCATGGCCTTCTCATAAGGAAGACCCTGGTAATTTCTCCTCTCTCTCTCTGCCTCCACCATCCTGATTGCAACCAGAGCCACTGTCATTGGATCCATGGGACTGTGCACCCACCAGTTAGTGATTTTCCTGCATTTTGTATCATTGCAGGTGGCTTCGTGAGGCTGACGAGAGACTTACGGACTAGTATCATACTTATGGACTTGAATTGGACTGGCTGGGCTGTTTTTCTGATATATGATTACTTCTTGATATAAAGATCTATCTTATACATACATGAGTATCACTGAATTTCTTTCTCTAGTCAACCTGGCCTAACACACATACTAACAAATGTTTTGATCTTGACATCTTATTAAATTCTTATTTATTACTTGCATAGTTTCCCTGAATCTGAATTCAACCTCTGCTCAATGTTCTATTGGATTGTTGGTCTTTCTCTTAAATATATTTTTATATAGGAGCCAGTCATATAGTAATTCTTAGCCTGTTGAATTAGTCCACAAATAGTTTTTTTGTTTGCTTTGCAGTGGTCTTTGTTCATGGGTTTTATTCTTTGTTGTTGCTGTTGTAGTCTGTCTTCTTTGGTTTATCAGATTTAATTTTGCTTTACAATAAAATTTATGCATTTTCTATCTTTATTTTAAAAACTGCCTATCACCAAAACTAATCAACCAACAACTTGCCAATCTTTTCTTCTAGTATTTATTATTATTATTACTATTATTTAGGTCCTCTGAGAGTGAGGCTTTTTTGTGCCAACATGGCACCTGTAAGAATATATGGGTGGAGTTTAGCCTGTCAATCAAGTCGCAGCCTGCTGACCTCCCTTGGAGGTGCGACTGAGCTATGTAGCTCCCTGGAAGCTGGTCTCCCTCTCTGACTTGATTTTCCTGCTGGCTGGCCATCCTGAAAACTGCTGTAGTCCTATACTGTTTTCCACCAACTTTAGATCCACACAACTTTGCACCAACCGACCTGTGATATTTCTGCATCATAGCATGTGACTGTGTGAGTCTGAAGAGGGATTTATGGACTAGCATCAGACTTAGGGACTTCAATTAGACTGGACTGGGATATTTTCTTGATATATAACTATTTCTTGATATCAAGACCTCTCTGGAATTTAGGTCATTCTAAAGAATGAGATATTGTAAGGGGTATATTATTTTCCACTGCATTTTGAATTGGTTAATACCACTATGTAGAAATATTAATGAGTTAACTACATTTTTATATCATCAGTCACTGTTTTGCATTCTTTTGATGTTTTCCCCCAGTTTTTCATTTGATATTGCTTGAATTTTCTAGATAAACAAAATCATAATATCAGGAAAAATAAACATTTTTCTTCATTTACAAGTGTTATACCTCTTTATCTTTTGTCTTGTCTAATTTCATTGCTAACCCTAATGTCAGTAGCTCAAATTGACTCGGGTAAGGAAACTCTGTTAAGAACAGTATTATATGGTAGGTGGTATTGGTGAGTATTATTGACTCCCCCCCCCCCGCTTTACAGCTAATATTCATATTTATATATTTCTAGGTATCAACATTCGGCTGGATATTGGCTTTCTGCAGAGTTTGGGATAAACAGTGAAAGACAGTAAGAACTTGTCTTCCACTTTTGCCTCTGCATCTCAGGACTCGTGCAAGTTTTGGAACTGCCAAATTTCCCCTCAGTCTGATCTATGTCACCCTTACTATGACTGAAAATATGCCATAACTACTGAGCTGCGACTTATTTAAAATGATAGTTTTAATCATTAGTGCTAGCATAAATTCATTTTCATGTAGAAATATAGAAAATGTTATATGTTCCCCCTCCCAAAGCAAATGGCTTTTTTCATCTTCTTTCTTCTTTTGTACATTACAAACATAGCATGACTTTGGGGCAAAAGTGCTCAATATTAGAGGTGTTTTGTTATTGCTATATATTAATTTTCATTACTTTAACAAAGACAGGTCTACATATATTTATGAGTCTCATTTTAACTTTTGTGCTTTCTTTTTCCTTACTATTAAAAGCTATGTGTTTGAAATCTCTCCCAATAAGGGAAGATACCTGGTGGAGTTCTTTTCTGGGTAATGAGACGAGAGGTGGGCAATGCCCTGCGGTATACCTCCAGTTGGGCCCCTAGTTATTTCCGCAACCATCAGCGTGCATGCCGTGGACATATTGATTCAAAGTTGGCAAACATTTATGTAATTTTTTTCTAAGGCCATGTATATTACACATATACATGCTCTGCCTGCTTTTTTAAAAAAGATATCTCTGCCTAATTCTATGAGAGTCTGTTTCATTTTTAATGGCCCATCACCTCATGATATGCCTTATACTGTAAGCAACATTGAAGGTCAATTTGCCTCAACTGTTGATTCTACATTCCCTTGAGTAAATGTGAGGATGCTCTTCACATTTCTATCACGTAACACATGAGGTCACAAGATTTAGCATTAAAAATATGAATGTAACTTATTTTCAAGTTGGATTATGAAAATATATTTACAAGTTGGATTATGGATATATAGATATTTTTTGCAGAGATTAAATTTATGAAGGAAAATAAAAAATATTTAAAGATTTTAATTTTTTGTCATTTTGTCACAAATTACCTAGGGATTTTTGATCATTGAAAGTATACTTTTTAAAATATATGTATTAATATTATAAAATCACCATCCAAAGAGCCCACAACCACCCTACGTTACCCACTATGGAGTAAAAAGTCACCATCAAGAAACACTCCTTTATAGTCACTCTAAATCTCACAGGCCATTAGAATAGAGCTCATCCTCTCTGTTGGTCTGGCATCTTTCTTTTAAAAATCATTTTATTGGGGGCTCGGACAACTCTTATCACAATCCGTCCGTCCATCCGTCCATCCATCCATCGTGTCAAACACATTTGTACATTTGTTGCCATCATCATTCTCAAAACATTTGCCTTCTACTTGAGTCCCTGGTATCAGCTTCTCATTTTTGCCCTTCTTCCCCCACCCTCCCTCCCTCACGAACCCTTGATAATTTACAAATTATCATTATTTTTTCATGTCTTACACTGCCCGATGTCTCCCTTCACCCACTTTTCTGTTATTGGTCCCGCAGGGAGGGAGTTTTATGTAGATCGTTGTGATTAGATTACCCCTTTCGACCCCACCTTCCTCTTACCCTCCTGGTATCACTACTCTCATTATTGGTCCTGGGGGGTTTATCTGACCTGGATTCCCTGTGTTTCCAGCTCTTATCTGTTCCAGTGTACATCCTCTGGTCTAGCCAGATCTGTAAGGTAGAATTGGGATCATGATTGTGTGTGTGTGTGTTGGGGGGGGGGAAGGGGGGGAGGGAGCATTAAAGAACTAGAGGGAAATTGTATGTTTCATTAGCATTTATACTGCACCCTGACTGGCTCGTCTGCTACCCGTAAACCTTCTGTAAGGGGATGTCCAGTTGCCTACAGATGGGCTTTGGGTCTCCACTCCACATTCTCCCTCATTCACAATGATATGATTTTTTGTTCTTTGATGCCTGATACATGATCCTATCGACACCTTGTGATCACACAGGCTGGTGTACTTCTTCCACATGGGCTTTGTTGCATCTCAGCTAGATGGCCACTTGTGTATCTTCAAGCCTTTAAGACCCCAGATGCTATATCGTTTGATAGCCAGGCACCATCAACTTTCTTCACCACATTTGCTTATGCACCGCTTTGTCTTCAGGGATCGTGCCGGGAAGGTGAGCATTATGGAATGCCAAGTTAATAGAACAAAGTGCTCTTGCATTGAGGGAGCACTTGAGTAGAGACCCAATGTGCATCTGCTACCTTAATACTAAACCTATAAATATATGCATATAGATCTATTTCCTCATCATCATATAAAACATATTTACATAGGTACATGCCTGTATTTAGACATGCATAAATGCCCTTTGCCTCCTAGTTCTTTCCTCTATTTCCTTTTACTTTCATCTTGTCCCACTATCATGCTCAGCCTTCATTTGGATTTCAGTTAATTCCTCTCAGTTACATCCTGGCATCTTACTTTTAAAGGTAATACTAGAGCAACCAAGTCAGGATTTTTAGCCAAACCAATAGCAAAGAAACTCAGGTCAAGATCCACATAGAAAATGCAAGTCACAACTTCTCCACTTCTCTTGGCTCCCACACCGTTAGTCTCTCAGCCAGACAGGGTCAGACAAGGACTAGGTAATTAGGACTCATTTTGGGATAAAAGTAAAAGATGAAAGATGCTTTGAATCTGTGCTGTTTACAAATTCTTTAAGAATATAAGAGGAAAGTATGCAAATGAACATTTCGAAGGGGATGTAAATAAGAACAGTTTATCGTTGGTTGATCCTGCTGTTCAGATCCCAAGATAAGTAGTTAGGGCCTCAGCTACAAGTGAAGATAAAGACTATCTGCTATTAAGTAGCCAATAAGTGAAGCTAAGAGTATCTGTTATTAAGACATTTTACAACAATGCAGTCTATTCACTCTCATTTATTTAAATATGAACCGAGCTTTAATTCTATGTAGTCCATCTGAAATCAAATCAGTTTATCACATTTTATTTAGACATGCATAGAACAAGTTAATCAAACTTTTTTTTTTATTCCCAAAGGAAAATGGGTTGTTAATTCACCCATTGAATGAGCAGTAGGCTAACGCATCAACAAGTAAAGAAGTGAATCTTGAACAGCAATGCAAACGCAACGGCAGACTCACCAGAGGTTTCATCTAGTCTCTCATCCACTATGTGGTCCTTCTGATGAACCCATTCACTATTGCACTTGAAGTAGATCTGGGTGGCGGGGCTGGCCTTACAATAGAGGTTCACAGGCTTGTTCTTCACAATGTAAGCTTCTTCGGGCTCAATGAGGAAATGTGGCAGAGGCTCAGGTGGATCAGATGGAAAGGTTTCTGGGAGTTCATGAAAAAAGTCATCATCTAGCAAAACAAGAAGAAAGTGGAAAACGGTCAACACATTGTGGAATTTGCCTTTCATTTGATTCTTATTTAAAAACAATGACTCATCTAAGTACCTGCTGGATGCTAGGCAGTGAGGTAGGGCCATTAAATACATAGTCCTAATTAAATATTGAAGGTCAGCGAGTAGAAATCTCTTGCCCTGGACATACTTCTAGGACATAGTAGAAGTATTGAATCCACTTTATTTCCCTTAAAAACTTTCACCTCTCTAAACTATGAGTACATTTCTCACTACATGGTGCTTGCCTTGAGAACGGATACAAGAAACAACTTCATTAGAAAAACTGTTAGGAAAATCATATGGTTCATAGTAAACCTCATATTATTGGCAAGGCCCTGAGTAGACCAAGAACTTGAATAATGAAGCCTTTATGTTTAAACTCAAGTCCATTCTTATCAAAAGATGCCATTGCAAGAAATATTCATTCAGACCAACAAAAAGTATTTATGAAGTTCAGAACTGTGAGACTAGAACACTAGGTGATAAATTAACATCATATACACCGGGCAGTGTAAGATAGGATGAAATAATAATTTATAAATTATCAAGGGTTCATAAAGGAGGGGGGAGCGGGGAGGGAGGGGGGGAAATTGAGCTGATTCCAGGAGCCCAAGCGGAAAGCGAGTTTTGAGAATGATGAGGGTAATGAATGTATAAGTGTGCTTTACACAATTGATGTATGTGTGGATTGTGAAGAGTTGTATGAGCCCCAATAAGATGATGTTTAAAAAATTAACATCATATAAGCCAATACCATAATGGAACCTGGTTGCTGATGCTGTCTAGTCAGTTTCCACTCACAGCAGCACCATGGGTTCGAATATTAACTATTCCATAGCGTGTTTTAGGCTACAATCTTTATGGAAATGGATTGTTAGGTCTTTCCCCCCTGGAACTGCTGGTGAACTTGAACCATGAACTTACTGGTTAGCAGTCAAACATTGAAAAGTTTTGCCACGTGGGCTCCTTTTAGTCGAGATTAGATGAGATTGCCATTTTCAGTCATACTTTGAAATTCTACTTCAAATGTCAAATGGTGTTATGATTAGTCAGACATATCTTCATGAGCATACTACTGTTAGCATGAAAAATAATCTAATTTAATATGGATTATTTTTAAAATGACCGTATCTGTGCGCCCACCCTGCTGTTGCAGCGCCAAGGAATAACCAAGACCTAAAAGCCCTTGGAGACGGTTGCACACTTTGAGGTCAGTTTTCCAAAAACTTTCCATTTTGCATGATTTCAAAGATAAAAATGAAAACCTTCTATATGATGAGCCTCCTTTGTATGTCTTACAATTTTTCAGGTAAGAGGATTCCTTCCAATACAATATAAATAATCTAAACCTGACGGTGCTCTACTTATGATTAAGCACCCCAAACTAATGTGTTGTTGTGAGTTGGTTCCAACTCGATAGAGCAAAACTGCCCAGACCTGTGCCATGCTCACAATTGTTCTTATATCTGTGCCCATGGTTGCAGGCACTGTGTCAATATAGCTTGTTGAGGGCCTTCCTTCTTTTCACAGCCCCTTTACCCAGCATGTTGCTCTTCTCTAAGGACTGGTCTCCCCTGACATGTCCAAAGTCCTACCATCATTGCTTCTAAAGGGCATTCTAGCTCTACTTCTTGCAAGACGGGTGGTTTGTTCTTTTGGCAGTCCGTGGAACTTTTCAATGCTCTTCACTAGCCCCCTAATTCAAATGCATCCATTCTCTGCAGTGTTCTTTAGTCTATGTGCACATGCAAATGCGGAGACTGAAAATACCATGGCTTGGGTCAGGTGCACCCTAGTCCTCAAAGTAACATCGTTGCTTTTCAACAGTTAAAAAGAGGTCTTGTGCTGCAGATTTACTCAATGCAATGTATCTTACGATCTCGTGGATCCAAGAAAGATGAAATCCTTGACAGCTTCAATCTTCTATATTAGGCTAATATGAGGTCAAAAATTTGAGGTCAAAACAGTGTTTCTAAGTCCTTTGTAAAATATATATTCAATAGCATAAAAAGGATATGGTATTACCAGTGACTGACTGGTTGCTCATGTCACCTGGAAACTCCTTTCTGTCTCTCATTCATTTGCTGCTTTAGATTTCAAGATGATATGCCAGAAGCAGGCACTAGTCCATTAAGACACCTGGCCTGGGAGTTTCGGCTATAGAATAGCACAAACAGTAGTGACTTTCGCTTTGAAGTGAAAATAGTCTTCACATCACAGATAAAACTAGCTTTCAAGACTTCTCCACAACGGCAGGCTCCTGACACTGAATCTGAACAGCGTTTCCTGGTGTCCGTGTTCTTCTTCACTTTAGCGTGTTAATTTTCTTTCTTCTGACAGGGCATCATTTCTAGTTTTCCTCTTGGAGAACATCAAGGACGCAGACTGTCAGCTTACTAAAGAACAACCTTGTTTCCATCAATTTCAGCTTTTTTTTTT